CCATTAGAGAGAGGCCCACACTAACACATGAGAAGATAACCTCTGCTGTGACATCAGAAGCTAGACACATTCATCTGCATAGCCTCTTGTTGTTGGCATCCTGGAGTAACAACCCCCCCACCCCACCCCCACCCCCGTGGAACTTACATTGAGAGGGAAAGTATTCTGTGACTGTGATGCACACCTGTCCCCTAGATGGAGCATCTCATAATTAGGTGTGATGAACGTGAGCAACATATTTTGGGAGAATGGAATATGGAAATTCCCTTTGGGGGAGGGAGAGAGGTGAAGTGACTCCTGGGAAGGTGAGCCCAGGGTGATGCATTTAGGTAGCAAATTTATATGGTTCATGGCTTTTTCTGTTCCTTGTGAAAACTGTTAAATAAAATGAATTTACTCAATTCTTTAGAAAGATCTTAAAAACAGAGACTAATGTCTGCTTTCTTCATCTCAGGCAATTCTTCATTTTACCAACCTGAGAGTGTCTGCAAAGTACTTTGAACAACTTAGGAAGTGAGAAAACATTAAAACGTTCTTCCTGGGAAAAGACATGTGAACTGAAGCCTGAGAGCTGAGAGAGGAGAGTCTGTAGAAATATTGTATACTGTGTCTAGTTCATTCAGGATGTTGTAACAAGACTGGGTAGCTCATAAACATCAGAATTTTTTCCTTGTGGTGAGCCATGGTGGTGGCATAGTTAAGTTCTACTGTAAGCCTTCTTCTTGTCTTTAGGCTGCAAGCATTTCTTTGTATACCTCTCAGTGTGGAGAGATAGCAAGAAAGTCTTCTCTGGGATCCCCTTTCCAAGGACACCAACCTCATTCATAAGGGCTGACCTCATGACCTAATCACCTCCTAAAGACCAGTGAACTAGGGATTAGAATTTTCAAGACTACAAACTTGTAATCCATTCCATTTTTATGGGTTTTAGTTTGCAAGAGTACTTGACCATAAAAGATGAGGCCTGGCATCCGGTTATCATTCAACAAGTCAAGCCAGACATTGTACACTGGGACTAGTTGGCTGGGTGAGGGACCTAAGTCTGGTTCTCAGAGAGGTACCATGTGGTCTGCAGCTCTGACAAGAGAATTCAGGAGCAATGACAAGAGTGTCAAGTAATGAAGTTCGCTATCCATGTTCCCATCCTTGACTGTCTCCTGATAGCCTATATTTAAAGCATAAATGGTGCTTCTCCTGTTACCTTGTAATGACTCAAAAAATTATTAATAATACATAGTCCACTGTCTGATGTTAGGTAGAGGGCATTCAACCCATCTCTGTTAAACTGCTCAGTGAGTTAATGAATCATGGTGGTAATATTTCCATATGCACCAAAGAACTTCATACTAGCATGTGTGATCAAAGATTTCCCTCCAGATGATTTTCAAATATAGGCCTTCTAGTAGACATCAAACTGTCAGAAAGTGCCAAGCATATCCATGGTTCTATACCCAAATGACTAATAATTACCTAGAACTTAATTTTAGCTATGACAAATAACTGCTTACTACTAATATACTAAATTATTTTTAAAACTATAAGATTTATCATTGTGAACTAGAATGTTATTAGCTTTAGAATAAATTGTGTGTGTGTGTGTGTGTGTGTGTGTGTGTGTGTGTGTGTGTGTAGAAAGGGGATTTATTAGAATGACTTACAGGCTATGGTCCGGCTAATCCAACAATGGCAGGCTATGAAAAGAAAGTCCAAGAATCCAGTAGTTGCTCAGTCCATGAGGTTGGATGTTTCAGCTGATCTTCCATACATGTTGGAATCCCAAAGAAGTAGGCTCTAATGTCAGTGATGGAATAGACTTGCTAGCAAGGCAAAAGCAAGCAGCAAAGAGCAAAAGCTTCCTTCTTCCATATTTTATATAGACCTCCAGCAGAAGGTGTGACTCAGATTAAAGGTGGGATTTCCAAGATCAAATGATCTGTATTAAAGGTATGTTTTCCCACCCAAGATTTGGATTAGCTGTGAATCTTCCTACTTCAAATTAAGCAGAAGTCCCTCACAAGTGTGCCCTCCATTTTTGTGTTTTAGTTAATTCTAGGTGTAATCAAGTTGACAACTAAGAATAGTCATCATTTCCTTCTTTTGTTATTTTCAGTAACTAGACCTTAAGACACATTATTTATGTCTATTCTAGAGCAGAATTACACATAACTCATCAAAATCTTATTGAAGAGAACTTCATGGTACTCTGCCTATGAGTTGTATGTTTTTTACATTACTTGGATTATACAACTCAAGTATAGGTAATAACATTGCTCATTATACTCAAGTTTAAAGGCTATAGTGTTACAATATAAAATCATGACTGTCACTACAGGGCTGTCCACAGTGAGGTGAGGGCAACCCACAAAAGCTGCTAGCAACAAGTTGACTTTTAAATTTTCTTCTCTTTTGATTTGTGTCACTAAATTATTTGTCTCTTTACAGTGGACTAGGGTCAAAGGTTTAGAAAAGATGGTTTACAGTTGTGGTGGTCTTCACAAGAAGGAAAGAAGTAAAAGTATATAATGGTGTTATAAATACATCCTTACTAGTAAGAAAGACAAAACAAACACAACTGGAAAAGGCACTCGCTGCCATGCCTGATGACATGAATTCAATACCTTTGATCTACATGGTGGCAAGAGAGAACCAACCCCCACATTGTCCTCTGACCTCCATTTATATGCCACACATACACTCCCACCTCCCCCACACAAATATACACGATAAATAAATAAATAAATGTAAGTTTAATATACCCATAAAGGTCAAAAGCTGTGTCCTATTATGGAAGATCCACCATTTCTTTATATATATACAAAATGGCTCTTTAGCTTCCACTTATCAAAGCTAGGTCTAGGGTGAGGCAAGTGAGATTCACACATTAGTATAAAATTTAAGAAGTTGTCAGAGTATCAGTCATCAAGATATACTATATTTTAGTAACACAAATCCATGATGAAGAAAATGTCAACATTGCAAATGAAGGCGGGATCTTAACTCTGAAGCTGCATACCCCTGCCTTGCCCACCTCTCCCCATCCCACTCCAGTGCAGCACATTGAGGATATTAGGTTATTTCTGGATAATAATAATAGTCACTGACTTGAAGAACTAAGGAGATTTATTAAAAAGAATGTCTTCTTCCTTGGTAAAGCCATGCCTCATCATGTGAACAAGCTGCTTAGCTCTGGAGTATTCTCTAGTTGGGAAAAAATGCATTGTGATTAAAGCCTTCAAATTGCATGCAAGCTTGACTCTTTTGAGGTTCATTCATCTTTAATTACTATCATGCCCTTGCTAGTTTGAACCTGCCCTCTCTCTTGAAGAGACAGGCATGACAAGAGAGTTGGGGGTGGGGAGCAAAAATGGTGTGCTGATCAGAGTGGGAATTAGCATGATGTGGCCAAGAACAAGCCCCGGGTGACTTCAGTGACATCAACAGTTCACAGTGGGGATGCTGGTGAAAGACACCTTCTTAAGGACACAAGGAGACAATTACTGCTTGGGATTAATACCAATACATTTGAGAAGATGGTTGAAAAGTGGAAGCATCAAGGAAATGGAGGGGAAAAAATCCATGAAATCTTTCATCACTTATTTCCAGGGAAAAGTGAGGATATACACAGGCCCCTATATTGGAAGGAACACAGACTAATAACTGCTTCAAAACTGGTGTTTATTAAAAGCTTTGACCATAGAGCTGGACCTCGTCTCTCTGTATTCCTCATAAGAGTATATCCTTACACTGTAAAAAGAAAGATAAATTCACAAATACGTGAAGATGAGAACAGAAAGAATTTTTAAAAAAAAGCACAAGTTAGACTATCAAATAAAAGTTTAGAAGTATCTAGCAAATTTAATTTTGAAAATGTGAGGAAGAATGGAATAATCATAACCACAGATAACAGAGTATCATGATGCTATAAGGAAGGTCAGAATGTCAGAGATGAAAGGAACTGAGACATGGGGAAACAGGGAGAAGTTAAAACTTCAGAGGAGAATTAAAAATTCCCATATGGAAAGTTTCAAATATTCTCAAAGACAAAGTGACTAGTGTAACGAACCCTTATGTATCCATTGTTTAGCTTCGGGTCATTGTTTAGTTTCATGTCAATGGAAATGCTTGAGCAGAGAAGCTTTCGTATCAGAGCATATTTTGCCTTCTCTCTGTAAGATGGTAGTTATGTAGTTATTTGGGGGGTTGTGGGTTTTTTTGTTTGTTTGTTTGAGACAGGGTCCCTGTGTGTAGTCTTGGCTCTCCTGGAACTCTCTCTGTTGGTCAGGCTGGTCTTGAACTCAGAGATCTGCCTGCCTCTGCCTTCTGAGTGCTAGGATTAAAGACATTTGCCACCATATCTGGCTTGTGTAATATCTTTCAAAGGTTCAAAATAAAAAGATCTGCAAGTCCTTTTCTGATCTGTCTCTTTTATTTAAGTAGATTTCTCCCTTGAAGTTAGACGGTGTGGAAGAGATAAGTAAGGATTCTGGAGGCCTGATGGCTGAGTTGAATTCCAGCATGGCCACTCACTTTGTGTGTATGGAGCAGGTTACATGTGCTCCCATGTCCCACTCCCCACTCTCCACATGAAGGTGAAGAAGCAGTACTTTTCTCATAGGGTTCCTGTTAGGATAAAGTACACACTAGTTCCCGGAATACAGAAAGCACTATATAAAGTCATTATTGTTGCCCAACCTAAGGTACTCATATCCCATGTTCAGCTTATGAAATGTCATAAATTAAACAATCCAGCAAGTAAATCATAAAACAGAAACTACTGCCCTCTTAGCCCTTCTCATGTCCCCTAGTAGTCACTGCCCCTCTCCAAGGGGAACTACTATCCTGGCTTCTCATTAATTTTACTGAGAGCCATGGATAAACCGTACTATTCTGCAGTAATAAGGGACCGTGGTATAGCTTTTTTTTCTTTTTTTTTTTTTATCTAAGACTTTATCTGTGTGCTGATTCCTCTCTTAACATAGAGCTTATGTTTTGGTTTTTAGGTTGAAAAAGCTCCTTGAACAAGAAAAGGCTTACCAAGCCCGCAAAGAAAAAGAAAATGCTAAGAGGCTCAATAAACTTCGAGACGAGCTTGTGAAACTCAAGTCCTTCGCACTCATGCTGGTGGACGAGAGGCAGATGCACATTGAGCAGCTGGGCCTGCAGAGTCAGAAAGTGCAGGACCTCACCCAGAAACTGAGGGAGGAGGAAGAGAAGCTCAAAGCTGTCACCTACAAATCCAAAGAAGACCGCCAGAAACTGCTCAAGTTAGAAGTGGACTTCGAACACAAGGCCTCGAGGTTCTCCCAGGAGCATGAGGAGATGAATGCCAAACTGGCGAACCAGGAGTCTCACAACAGACAACTTCGACTCAAGCTGGTTGGCTTATCTCAAAGGATCGAAGAACTGGAAGAGACCAACAAAAACCTCCAGAAGGCCGAGGAAGAGCTTCAGGAGCTGAGGGATAAAATCTCCAAAGGGGAATGTGGGAACTCCAGCCTCATGGCAGAGGTGGAAAGCCTGCGGAAGCGCGTGCTGGAGATGGAGGGCAAGGATGAAGAGATCACTAAGACGGAGGCCCAGTGCAGGGAGCTGAAGAAGAAGCTGCAGGAGGAGGAGCACCACAGCAAGGAGCTCCGGCTCGAGGTGGAGAAGCTGCAGAAGAGGATGGCGGAACTGGAGAAGCTGGAGGAAGCCTTCAGCAGGAGTAAGTCGGAATGCACCCAGCTCCATCTGAACCTGGAGAAAGAGAAGAATCTAACCAAAGACCTGCTGAATGAGCTGGAGGTGGTCAAGAGTCGAGTTAAAGAACTCGAGTGCTCGGAAAGTAGACTGGAGAAGGCTGAGTTGAGCCTCAAAGATGACCTCACGAAGCTCAAGTCCTTCACTGTGATGCTGGTGGACGAAAGGAAAAATATGATGGAAAAAATAAAGCAAGAAGAGAGAAAAGTGGATGGGTTGAATAAAAACTTTAAGGTGGAACAGGGAAAGGTTATGGACGTCACTGAAAAACTAATCGAGGAAAGCAAGAAGCTTTTAAAACTCAAGTCCGAGATGGAGGAAAAGGTGTCCAGTTTGACAAAGGAGAGGGATGAACTGATGGGTAAGCTGAGAAGTGAAGAGGAGAGGTCCTGTGAACTGAGCTGCAGCGTCGATGTACTGAAGAAGCGGCTTGATGGCATAGAGGAGGTGGAAAGGGAAATAAACAGAGGGAGGTCGGGCAAGGGGCCTGAGTTCACTTGCCCCGAAGACAATAAGATCAGGGAACTAACGCTGGAAATCGAGAGGCTGAAGAAGCGTCTCCAGCAGCTGGAGGTGGTGGAAGGCGACTTGATGAAGACAGAGGATGAGTATGACCAGTTGGAGCAGAAGTTCAGAACCGAGCAGGACAAGGCAAACTTCCTCTCCCAGCAGCTGGAAGAAATCAAGCACCAAATGGCCAAGAACAAAGCCATAGAGAAAGGAGAGGCTGTGAGCCAGGAAGCCGAGCTGCGGCACAGGTTTCGGCTGGAGGAGGCTAAGAGTCGTGATTTGCAGGCTGAGGTGCAGGCTCTCAAGGAGAAGATCCACGAGCTGATGAACAAAGAAGACCAGCTGTCCCAGCTCCAGGTGGACTATTCGGTCCTTCAGCAAAGGTTTATGGAAGAAGAGAATAAGAACAAGAACATGGGGCGGGAGGTTCTCAATCTGACCAAAGAGCTGGAGCTGTCCAAGCGTTACAGCCGCGCTCTCAGGCCCAGCGGGAACGGCAGGAGGATGGTGGACGTGCCGGTGGCCTCCACCGGAGTGCAGACCGAGGCGGTGTGCGGGGATGCTGCGGAGGAGGAGACCCCGGCTGTGTTCATTCGCAAATCCTTCCAGGAAGAAAACCACATCATGAGCAATCTTCGACAGGTGGGCCTGAAGAAGCCCATGGAACGATCCTCGGTCCTCGACAGGTATCCCCCAGCAGCCAACGAGCTCACTATGAGGAAGTCCTGGATTCCTTGGATGAGAAAAAGAGAAAACGGCCCTTCTACCCCACAGGAGAAAGGGCCTCGGTCAAACCCAGGTGCAGGGCACCCCGGGGAGCTGGTCCTAGCACCAAAGCAGGGCCAGCCCCTGCACATCCGGGTGACACCAGACCACGAGAACAGCACCGCGACCCTGGAGATCACAAGCCCCACGTCTGAAGAGTTTTTCTCTAGTACCACCGTCATTCCTACTTTAGGCAATCAGAAACCAAGGATAACCATTATTCCATCACCCAATGTCATGTCGCCAAAGCCCAAAAGTGCAGATCCGACTCTCGGCCCAGAACGAGCCATGTCCCCTGTCACGATTACAACTATTTCCAGAGAGAAGAGCCCGGAAGGTGGAAGGGGTGCCTTTGCAGACAGACCCGCGTCTCCCATCCAGATCATGACGGTGTCAACATCCGCAGCTCCCTCTGAAATTGCTGTCTCTCCTGAATCCCAGGAAGTACCAATGGGAAGGACTATCCTTAAAGTCACCCCAGAAAAACAAACTGTTCCCACCCCGGTGCGGAAGTACAACTCCAATGCCAATATCATCACCACGGAAGACAATAAAATTCACATTCACCTGGGTTCCCAGTTTAAACGATCCCCGGGGCCTGCAGCTGAAGGCGTGAGTCCAGTTATCACCGTCAGGCCCGTCAATGTGACAGCTGAGAAGGAGGTTTCCACAGGCACAGTCCTTCGCTCTCCCAGGAACCACCTCTCTTCACGACCTGGTGCTAGCAAAGTGACCAGCACTATAACCATAACCCCGGTCACAACATCCTCCACACGAGGAATCCAGTCAGTGGTGAGTAGGGGAGGACCCAGAGCAAAGTGCAAGCGGGGTGGGGGTGCGGGTGGGGGAGGGGGGACTGGAGGGGGTAGTGGGGGGTGGGGGAGTGGAGGGGGGCAGGACACTAACCCGCCCAAGCACAAAAAAGAAACCCCTGGCCTGCATCCAGACACTCCCCGGGCAGCTGCCTACACAGATGGGAAAAGATCTCACCTAGAACTGAAAATTCACATTTTGATCAATTGAATCAGTAAGAAAATATTTCATTTATTCACGTAAGTTTATGGAGACCCCAAAACATACTTGCAAAGACAATCTCTTTGAAATGGTGCTATAGAATAATCATAAGGTTTAAAATGTGATTTTTTTTCTATATTCAAAATACTTTTTAAAAATAAGCAATCTCTATACAGGAAGAGTTAAAACTGTTTCCAGGTTTATTTCCATTGTGTAAATGTTCAGTAGTGATTATGCATGGCCACAGCCATACTTTATTCCAAAATTAGGAGTGAAAAATTTTCATATTAAAATCTTTTAAAAGGAAAAGAAGTGACTCTATATGTCTAAAATCTGTGTTTTATTTAACAATATCTTGCAAAGAGCATGCATTTTTTCATAAATATTTATTTGATGACTAGATGAGATGATAAATTTGAAAATATCTGAAGTACATCTTAAGTGTAAATTGTATTTTTCAAATACTTCTGACAACTGTCCCCATTTACTGGGGACAAATTTCTTTTTTTTTTTTAAGACTGATTTCAGTTTTTATTTGTGTTTTCTAGCAAATGATTATCATAACACACATCCATTATTCTGGGTCAGGGGTATGGAAGAGTATATAACTTAAGATTACAACTATGCAATAGCTTGAGCGATAAATATTGATCACATGGGAAGTCTGCAGCAAGTAAAATTGTTACATTGTTCTCTTAAAAGCAGACTAAATAAACAGGCTGAGTACACAGCAGTCTAAGTGACCTCAAGGTGTATTATTACCGCTGGCTGTGAGGTCCAGCAAAAGTTCTAATTTCTTAGAACGTAAGAGATTGTTTTTAAACTTTTATTAATTCTTTGTGCATTTCACATTATGCATTCTGAACCCACTTACTTCCCTCTCCCCTCGTATCCACCCTCTGCCCTTGCAACCTCCCCACAAAACAAACCCAAATTTGAAAGAAAACGAAACCAAACAAAAATAAATAAATAAATAAGGGCGGGGGTGGGGGGGGTGGGAGGGGAGAAGTATCCAGTCATTGAAGTTGTAGTGTGGCCCATTGAGTCACACAGCCTACCCTTTAGTCCATTCATCTTTACTTTCAAGTGTTCACTGCCGGGAGTCATTGGTCTGGCTCGAGGCCTCTGGCTTCTGCTGCACCACCAATAACGGGCTCTCACTGGGGCTCCTCTTGGATATCCTGTTGTCCTGTGTTGTGAAGATCCTGCTGTTTTGGATCTGTAGGTTCGGGGACAAATTTCCTGTACAATAGCACATACCTCTTAAATATTAATTCAAACTAACAGGCTAGAAATTGTGATTCTTAGCTACAGAGCATATCCTATAGCTTATGGTGAAATCTCTTGAAAGCAAACTCATTATTGAAATACATGAGCCATGGCCCGTCTTCCGATATCCTTAGTATCATTTACACTAATTCCCTGTGTACAGATTCAAGGCAGACTTTATAGTGTGAGTTGGTCATTGCTTTGGCAGGAAAGCTTTGAGTTGTTGGCTCCCCTGGAGTCAAACAGCGTTCAGCATTGTTAGCCTTCTCAAAGGATGCTGCACTGTTACTGTTTCTCAGCAGGACAAGGCATAGCTCTGTTGGGCAAGGTCTTTTGTCTCTGCATTTTGTGAACAGATAGTGGAGGTGTAAATCACTGTATTGTAGAGCAGGTTCTTCTGCTGCTGCATCATCTCCTCATTTTGAAGTTCAGATTGATATTCCTACCCTCTGGCTGCCACTTAAGCCCTATACACAAATAAGATTTAAAAACAATGACGCATGATTGCACAGGCCTAAATGATGGCGGTCCATGTATTTTGGTAAATTCAACAAAATAAAATTTGGAACAGCAAAAAGGTTTAGGAGACCACTCTTAGAATATAATCAGTGAAGCTAGTTCATTTGGGTGTTCACTTGTTTACTTTTTAATTGTGCCTCAGCCACACTTCCACTGTGGCGTTCGGTGCTGGGGTGTAGAGATCTGTAAATGTTCCCGAGTCAGTGAGGCAGGACTAGAACTTAATCGTTGTGTGATAAAGGTATGCACAAAGGAACTACCAGAGGAGGCATCACAGGTCAGAAGGCATGGGGAGGAGTGCATGGATAAGCAGAATGTGTGAAGGCATGGCCATACGAAGGGGCCTGGTGAGTTGGGGGCATAGTGAGTGATCCCATTGTGCTGTAGCAGTGGTCGTGGGGAAGTGCAGGTGCAGAATACGCAAACACACTCAGGGATTAGGCATTGGCTTATGAAACCCACATTTAGTTTCTCTGAACAGATAAAGGGAGTCATTGAAAAGTTAACAAACGATCCTGAAAATATTTTACATTATTCCCGAAAGATATTTCTATCAAACATCTGGAAGGACAAATAGAAGAGAACACAGGCTAACGAGTGCCATTCCAGTTCTCTAGGCTAGAGATGGTATAGGATTAAACGGTGGCAGTGACAATGTAAATAGGGACATATTGAAAATAGAACTGAAAACCAGGTATGATGGTATATGCTAGTAATTCTAGCACTCAGGAAGCAAGCAAGAGGGCTGCAGGTTTCAGTCCAGCCTGCACTGCATAGTAAGAACCTGTCTCAGAAGGAAGAGGAGGAAAAACAAGAATTTAAGATTTTACAACAGCGTACACGCAGAGGGTGGCTCAGGGGTTCCTGTCTTTGCTGTGTAAGTAGGGTGAGAAATGTAAAAACATTTGCTGGGGATGAGAGCAAGCAGTGTGACACTTTCTGAGATGCTACGTGATGCTGTCTATGTCCAGTGAGTAGTTGGAAATCATATCTGCACCGCAGAAGGGGCTGGAGGCGAGAGGTTCTAGGGCTCGGATGCATGGAATTCCAAGCAAGGGGATTCTCAGGGTAAAACTGGAAACCATAATAAAAGAGCTAAGACTAGGACATGGTGGCACATCTAGGAGGCAGGCAGGATCGAATGAACCATCAGGAGAAGACAGGAGTCGTCAGAGATTGGAAACATTGGCCAGACTCAGACAGAGACCAAAGCAATGCACTGGGAGGAACATTGTAAGGAGATGGGCGTGGTCAGGGTGTCAATTAAAACAGAAAAGTCTGAGGTCATAAGTAGGTGAAAAGAGCCACTTCCTCTGAAATGGCAGGAAAACAGGACAGTGGCATGCCTCTAAGAACTAGGTTTTGAGGTCGTCTTGGGTAGGGATAAAGAAGGTGAACTTAGGTTTGAGAGGGAAATTCAGCATAGATGTTAGGAAGGGAAAAGGGAGGGTTTTGAGTAGGTTAGATGCCAACGCTGACTTTCTGAGTCCTTTTCCCTGGGACGGGTTGGTGTGGATGCTCCTTTGTGGCAGGAATTATGCCAACGCATAGGTTTAGGGCATAACTGGGGCAACTCACCAACATATCCCTTTTGTCTGTGTTTTCTCTTACAGTCGGGACAAGATGGGTCATCTCAGCGGCCTACACCCACCCGCATTCCTATGTCAAAAGGTATGAAAGCTGGAAAGCCAGTAGTGGCAGCCCCAGGAGCAGGAAATCTGACCAAATTCCAGCCTCGAGCTGAGACTCAGTCTATGAAAATAGAGCTGAAGAAATCTGCAGCCAGCAGCACTGCCTCTCTTGGAGGGGGGAAGGGCTGAGGGCAGTGGCTAAGGGGGTATGTTGTAAGGATGCTACTGCTGCTATGGAAACCAACCTGCCTCTGTTTGTGCCAACCCTTTACATGTACTACTAATTTAAGTTTTAAGTATCTTGTTTATAAAATAACCATCTAATAGCCATGCGTTTTTTTTTCCCCTATTTTGTGCATTTGTTTCAATGCAGGGAAATAGAACTGATTAGCAAAATTGCTGTTTGCTGAACACTTTGTTGAAGATGCTGGCCCTAAGACAGGGTCTGGCCTGAGTTCAGGTTTACTTCTAGCATGCGGCCCCATCAAATTTAGCTCATCAGCTAAGAAGCCCTATCTCTTCACCAGTGAGATTTGGGGGCCAAATTACATGCTCCTGAAGGCTGGCTCCCAAATTTTCTAATTGTAAGCCAAGTTTAATAGACTTAGTTCTACATTTCCCCCCCCCCAAAAAAAAAAAAACTATTTTGAAATAAGACAGCGTTTAACCATTGTCATTGTGCACTATCAAGTCTTGAGTTTAATATATGTGATGTAAGGAAAAATTTTTCAAAGCTATCGCAGGGCCTCTAAAATCTGGAAAAACAAAAGCTCCTCATATGACTTCAGGAAACAACTTGACGTGAAATAAAATGAAGATGAACTGTGGAATCTGAAAAAGAGAGTTTGATTTATTTGTGTGTGTTTGTGTGTATTCTAGAAGTTGTGGCCACCTCAAACCGCTCCCAGGATTTCGTAGACAATAACTTTGAACCATTAGGATCAGAGTTCTGCTCTGTTCAAGTGTGCAATTGGTTGAAATCGTAGGGAAGTGGACTAGAGCTGCCAAACGTCCCCTTAAAAGCTCAACAGAAACAGTGACAAAGGGAAAACAGCAGAAAGCAAATTTAGACACTTCAATGCCCAGGAAAAAGTGACATCATCCATAGCTTAATTGAACTCAGTATTTTCCTTAGTTAAGTGTGGACTCTGTTTGCAGATGCAGAACAGATCATGATTTGGGGTGTGTGTGTGTGCCTGTTGGTATGTGTGGTGTGGTGAAGTACTTTATTATGACTGTCAGTTTTACTCATGTTTGAATAATTTTCTTTAATTTTTGAGCATGTTCTAATAAGCATGAGACAGAGTGTAAATGCAGAATGCCATGTGTCTGTGAGATTAACCCTGAAAGAGTAGGTTTTGTGCTTCATGGTCATATAACCAGAAATGAGCTCCAGGCTGGTAAACTACAGCTTACCATACCACCATCTCATGCAGGCCATATCTTTGCCAAAATTTCTGAGCCACATAGGTGAATTTTATAAAATTATAGTAACTACAGAGTTCCAGATTTGTACATTTTCATTTGTGAATTCTTAAACTTCCCAAATCACATGGGATAGCACACACTTTGGGTGTTTGAGAAAGGCAAATTGGAAAAAGAAGACGTGTGCTTTGTTTTCAGACTGTGAGCCAATGTTTCACGATGAAGCGCCTCTCTGCATTCCTTTCTGAACCAGATGCCTTATACCCTGCAGAACTTGGATTGAATTGTATGTGTGATGGTGGGTGTGGCCACCTCCAATTCTCTACACGCACTTTAGGCAGATCTGTCACCAGCTGTTCATTGGTTCTCAGTGTATATATTAAAATATGTTTAGCAACCACATTAACAACAATCCAGAATGCTGGGTCCGGAAGGTTAAAGAGAAATAGAGATTAGCTAAGATGTGTATGATGTGTATGAACATTGGACAAGACACTTTGCCAGTTAGAATACGGACTTGTGTTTCTTAAGGGACTTTCTGCACTCTAATCAATGGAGATCCAACCCTTTCAAAGACAAGGCCATTCTTTGTTTTACTAGTGCCTGCCTTGTGTTTGTGAGGTATGAAGTACTACTGTTCTATGACATAGCTTCTCTTGAGCAATGACAGCGTCAACTGCTGTGCCCCTTTCGGCTCTGCCTGACCGTCTTTAAGGGGCTTTACACTCACAGTGTCACTGGCTGATCGTCTTGCTTTTACCTGCCCACACCATGGTTACATCACTTCCTCCTGGAAGTTGATATCACCCCTGGGAGAGTGCTCAGAAGACCTTAACAGTGAATGTACAGGATGTTTATGTATGTAGATCTGGCATAGAGCCACGGACAAAGTACAACTGCTAAGAAAACTTGGCAGAACAATACATAGTCACTTCAGAAATGACAGAAAGCAACCAACCGCTGGGGAAGTTTCTCTTTGTAATTTTAGAACCAACTGTACATTTATTGGATAGCCTTTTTTTTAAAGCACACATTAGAAGTGGAATACACAGGGGATAGGAAGTGGAGGATTAAATGAGCCTGACTCTGTCTTCCATTGGTAAATGTTTTTAAGATGCTGCTTAATGTACTTTGTAGGAGTGAATGGGCTAAAAGTTTAGACTCTTTTCTCTGTTGTGAATCCTACTGTATGCCAAAATAAAAGCAGTACAATGGCTGACATGTATAGTGTATAACTACTGTTTGGATCCTGCAGTGAGAAATTCTAAGAGGTAGGGCACATGTCATTTCCACAGAGTTCATTATCTAGGGATGTGCTGGTACAATCCACAGAGCTAAAGAGGAGACCTTGGTCTTCCACACCTGTGAACCAACTGAACATATTGAGGGCACCATGATGGTGACTACCTGCCACACATGGTCCTGGGAATGCTCTGATATGGGCTATTACTGCAGCGTGTCTATCACATCAATGCTGTGAGCTTCAATTCTAGGGCATTTGGTTAAACAGGGCCACTGGCTTCCTATCATGTTTGCAGGAGGACAGGTTGATGGATAGCAGTTGGGTCTCTCTCGAGATGTTAGTATATTCATCAAGGGTTTCAGCAGATCCTTTACTTGGTTGTTTTCAAGAATGAAATGAAGACCAAACATTGACGTTTAGCCTAAGGAAAGTATCATTTCAGTGATGAAACATACCCGGGCGTGCAAAATGTGAAGAAGACTTGGAGTTCTCCTTCCTTCGTAAATTCAGAGTACTGAGGGAAGAATGAGACTTCTGTGCTGAGCAAAACCATAGGAATATAGGTGAGAAGAGCACATGGGGGCTGTTGAGATGCTTCTGTGATGGGCACTTGTCTAACATTGTAGCATCCTAGTTTTTAATCGGAAGCAATAAAAGAAGGGAGATATGTATGTTTCGGAGGCTGAAGAACAGACAGAGGGCGGGGGGAGAGAGAGAGAGAGAGAGAGAGAGAGAGAGAGAGAGAGAGAGAGAGAGAGAGAGAGATATTCCCTCTCGCTTGCCCTCCCCCTTTCCACAAGTGCTCACCACTGTGCTACACTTCCAGCCTTAGATTCTCCTTTTTACCTGTCATTACTATACAGGCAATAAACACACTCTGGCATCTTCCAGCATAGTGATCCTTTCCCTTCATCTGTGCAGGCTTCTGTAGTTCCTACTGTCTCCACCCATGCCCACCTAAGCTGTTGACGGGACAGTAAACATGTTCTGCCTCTACTCCCATACTGCAAACTTATCGTTCACATTTTATTTTTATTTTTTTAGAGACATGGTTTTTAATCATGAGCATGAGTGGGGGTCAATGCATGTGAGTGCAGGTACCCTTCATAGGCCAGAGACGTTGGATCTCCTGGAGGTCGAGTTACCAGCAGTTGTGAGCTACCCAGCTGTGCATTGACCTCCAGCCCTCTGCAAGAGCAGAGCGTGCTTTTACCTGCTAAACTAGCCTCAACCTTTTCTTTTTAAAAAATAATCCATGCATATTGTTAAAATATCAGTCCATGATAGAAGACAATAAAAATAGTCATTCCTTACCTTTTCCCTCTGACCCAAGGTTTTCCTTGAGGACATCTTCTCCAACTCTTACCCATTTCTTCAGACATTTGTCTCCATATTTGTACAATGTCCTTGTACTGTAGCCTCTTACTTCTGGATTTTAGATATATTATGTCTTCCTATTATTGTTTTCATGGTGAACATTTAGACTTCTAACTTCTCCCTTTTATCTATCCTCTCAACATGATCATGTCACATTTACTTATTCATTTACTTATTTATTTTACTTTTATTTTGTTGTTGTTGTTGTTGTTTGAGACAGGGTTTCTGTGTAGCCCTTGCTGTCCTGGATCTCTAGACCATTCTGATCTTGAATTCATCAAGATCCACCTGCCTCTGCCTCCCAAGTGCTCGGATTAAAGGTGTGTGCCACCACCGCCCGGCTCACGTCACATGTTTTTGATATGGCATTTATATGTTCTAAGTGTTTATAAAATGTGCACAGTGGAAATTTGAATATGGTTCCGTGCTGAGCCAAGCTGTGCACGAGCAGTGTGCTCTCTTCCTCTTGACACTTCTTCCAAGGAATAATTACTTTAATCTTGCATCTGTTTGGTTTCCTATGTATCTATTTTAGTTTTCCCAAACACTCCATTTGCTTTGCCAAACGCCGATCAGTCATTTTTCCAACACTTCAACACAGCAGTTTTCTATTTCCCCACAGAGGTCTTCCTAGTGCGGCTCTCTGCTTCCTTCCCTCAAGCTGGACTGATTGTCCTCCAAGACTGCTGCCCGGCTGTTGGCCTTCTGCCTGAACTGAATCCAGACTTTCCTCTCCTCCCCTCTCCTCCCTTCCCCTCCCCTTTCTTCTCCTCTCCCCTCTCTTGTCCCCTTCCCTCCCCTCCCCTCCCCTCCCCTCCCCTCCCTGCTCCTCCCCTCCCGTCCCCTCTCCTCCTCTCCCCTCTCCTCCCCTTCCCTCCCCTCCCCTTCCTGCTCCTCCCCTCCCCTCCCCTTCCTGCTCCTCCCCTCCTCTCCCCTCCCCTCCCTGCTCCTCCCCTCCCGTCCCCTCTCCTCCTCTCCCCTCTCCTCCCCTTCCC